GAATATCTCTTTGGATTTGAGACTTTAGCCTTTGCAACTTTACAGATCTTCTTTATGCACCAAGAGCTTGTAACACTCCAAAGAGAAAGAAAAAATTGAAATCGCATCATATGACCCCTTTAAAGAAGAAACCAATCCGATGTATAGTTGACATTTGAGGCTTTAATACTATAGAAAAGCACTAAAGGTTTTTCAGTTAGAGGGTTTTCAGTTGTTTATTTTCATATAAAAATACGGCATGCAGTTGCATCAAACAATGGTATAAACATCATTCAATGTAAATTGTGATAATCGTAATTAATAATCGCAATTACAATTTCAAGGGAATAATCGACAATTATGATTTTTGTCATAATCGTACAGCCCTAACTCACCCTCAATCCATTTGACTTTCTTCATTCAGATTAATACAATTGGAGTTATATTAAATAATGTCATTGCTCTTCAAAGCTTTATAATGGCAGTGAATGGGGGTCGAGATTTTGAAGCATAAAAAGTGCTCCACACGGCACACGAGAGAGTGGCGTTCAAGCAGATGACGATCTTACACAAATGCATCACTTTGCTTCAGAAGGCTTTTATTAAACCCCTGGAACCGTGTGGATATCACAAAGCGGCCCATTAGAATATCACTAAAAATAATTCCGCCTACAGAAATTCGAATGGTTGGGGGGTGGGAGGGGTGAGGTTGTGGTTAGAACGCTTGGTTGATTGAGTGCACCAGACGAGACGAAGAAGAAGTGCTGCTGCAGAGTTAGTGCATCAGAGAAAACGAAGAAGAAGAGCTGCTGTGATTTAGCTTCAAATTTTCGGCATGTCTAGAACAATTCTTACAAGTACAACACGACGTAGCTGGGCGCCGCGGACAGACGCCGAACGGCGCCGCCGGTGTGCCTACACTCATAGAAAATAATGTATTTGAATTTTAAAGATGTGACGCGACGTGACGCTGTGCTTCTCGTCCGGTGCGTGACCGCCTGAAACGCTTTTTTTTTTCACCTCCGTGCCCAAACGTCTTTGTTTGGGCTTCCGAAAGCGGATGATGTCAGGAAACAGTGGTTGCAATTTATTTTTTAACTCTGTTCCTGAGCATTATAACCCCAATTTGCTATTGTGTGCTGCGCATTTTACTGAGGACAGCTTCCACAACACGAGTGAGTACAGTGCCAGATTCGCCCAAAAGCTTTTGTTGAAAGACGGAGCAAGGGGCGTGGCAGTAATGAAACACCATCTAAGCTGTTCGCCAATCACAACGCACTGGGACAGCTAACCAATCACAACACATTTTGTTTTTCGGAAGGCGGACCTTCATCAAAGCCGGAACTAATCGAGCCGTTTGTGCCAGGATGGGGAGAAAGGTATTTTAATAATGTAAATTATGTGAAAAATAATGCATTTTTTCGAAACACCAAGCATGAGAGCATGTTCTAGAACACCCCCAAAACAAAATCAAGACTTTGTAAAAGAGCATAATAGGACCCCTTTAAGGTTGAGTAAATCGTTGGGTAATTTCCATTTTTGGGAGAACTATCCCTTTAAGGCTGGCTAAAGTAAGTTCAACATAGTGTGCCATGCTCTCCTGGATTACACTCAGATAAATGAGTTAATATGTGACAGAAAATGTCAAAAAAGCACTCTGAGTTCCAGTAAGCGCAAGAGCGGCTGACAATAGTTCTGATCATGCCATCTCAGAGCAATATAGTGTTGTCTGAATGTTATCTCATGCAGAGATTATAAAAGATGGGAATCAGAATAAACTGAATAATTCTGGCTCTAACTATATACTAGAAAACACAGTTTGTTTTAAAAATATGATTTTTACATAAGTACACGAGTACATGTAATCTTTAACTTTAGTTAACAAAAATAAAATGTGTTTGCAAAGAAAATGTAAAATTCAAATAAAAATATCATTATTATTTCTGGCAAATATAAAAATACATTGTAATCAAGCACTTAAAATATATAATTTAGTATACATCACCATACACAATACTGTACAGTATGTATGCAGATAAAGTTGGATATACTTAAACACTGAACTTCATATAAAGTTGGAAATTAAAACTTCTTAATGATGGTTTTGTTTCTTTCAAACACGCAGATTATCTCTTCACGAGACATTAACTGATGGACAGGAGTGGTGTGGATTACTGGGATGTTTTTATCAGCTGTTTAGACTCTCATTCTGACGGCACCCATTCACTAAAGAGGATCCATTGGTGATGTAATGCTACATTTGCCTGAGGATGAGTACGTTTTCATTTTCAGGGGAACTCTTTCTTTAAAGGGGTTGTTCAGTTTGACAGGGGTTGTGTTACCTTGACAATGCTGATGGGCTTCCTGGACAGATGGAAGCTTGTGTAGAGCAGGAACGTGAGACCAAACGTGAAGGCCCTGTACCTGCGTGAACCAAACACAGCAAAGTTCAATCAGGATAAGGAAATAAGGACATTTTACAGTGAAATGTCCTCTTGTCATGCTCTGTACAAGACAGATTAAAAGATTGGCTGCATTCCAAAACAAGCCCAAATACGAATACTGGACGTATGCAGCTGGCATTAAACTGTGTGAGGGGCTAATGACATACTGTTCAGATACGCAAACAACTTTGCTTCACGAGCATATCAATCAGAAATTAACGGGAGCCCGTCTATTGCTTAATGTCATACTAAGAAAGGCAGAGCAAGTCTTTTATCCATTGGAAGTCCACTACTATTTTACATTCCAACTTAGATAAGGTTTGGACACAGCAGCTGAAGTCCATTTTTCTGTTGAATTTTTTCCCCTTTCGTTCTGTCACACAAAGCTACTTTGATTCAATGGATTTACTTACAGATTCAATGGATTTAAAAGTAGTCTATACAACCCATGTGTTTTATAAGCGATGTAATGGTAATACATCTATTTAAACTACAAAATTCTGCCTTTTTACTTTAAAATGTACTTATAACCACCATGATATATGGGTGAAAACTAGATGATGAACAAGATGAGCACAAGTCAAACACACACAAAACACCATCAGGGTAGCACACAACACGAAAATAATGAAATAAAAATGAGAAAAAATGCTAAATGCATCTTTTATATAAAATATGATCATATGACGTGTCATGCAGTTTTTTTTTTTTTTTACCATAAATTATATGGTAATTCATAGTTTACTTGCAAAAAACATACATTTGACAGTATTTTACATTAAGTGGGTTAAAATGTTTAAAATGTATGTATATATATATATATATATATATAAATAAAATACTAATATAATATATATATATATATATATATATATATATACATTTTTTGTGTTTTAGTTATATTTTAATTTAAAGGAAATCCTCTGTTTTGAAAAGTTCAATAAATGCATGATGTCTCCAAAGTCAATGAGTAATCGAGATCCCACAATTGCCCAAAGATGCTTATGGTTTTTCCCATAATCAAACAGCCCTATGGAAATCTGCAAAGTTTTGCATGAGCAGATTTGGGTCTGTTGATCATCAGTCGTGAACATACAGCCAAAGAAGATTTATAAAAGAGACAAACGTACCACTGGTCCCTATTGAAGGATGTCAAGAAGCGGATACCAGGTGGGACTGGTGCCATGCTTATATGTGTGTGTGTGTGTGTGTGTGTGTGTGTGTGTGTGTGATGCTTATGGTTTTTCCCATAATCAAACAGCCCTATGGAAATCTGCAAAGTTTTGCATGAGCAGATTTGGGTCTGTTGATCATCAGTCGTGAACATACAGCCAAAGAAGATTTATAAAAGAGACAAACTCACCACTGGTCCCTATTGAAGGATGCCAGGAAGCGGGTGCCAGGTGGGATTGGTGCCATGCTTATATGTGAGTGTGTGTGTGTGTGTGTGTATTACAGCTGCTTAGTAAATCTCATAAAGATGTTAGGCAGGATGCCTGTAGATATAGTCACAAGACCCATCTCTGACCAAGAGGAGCTTGTGATTTGATCAGAAAGGCACAATATCCCATTATGAAGAGTCGCATCCGTGGCTTTATATCCTGAAGAAACAAAGAAAGGATGAGGGACTGAAAGGGAGGTGAACACACAAACCATCACTTAGTTAAACAGTATCATGTTCATTTGCCGCACATTATCAGTCCTTTCATCTTTTAGGAAATGACTGCCCTGTCAAAGCTCATAAACGACGCGACGTGGCTGCTACTGTACAATCATGAGTGTCTATGAGAAACCTCGGAGCCACAGGTCAACCTGTGGTTAACTACAACAATAAAATGATTATAAGCATTCAATTACATTCAAATAAGACTCGGAATAAATGTACTACATTGTTATAATTGTGTGTGGTCTCTCGCAGATACTCTCGCTTTGTATTAAGGTCGTAAGAACACGTTTTAATCAAATGTGATCGATAACACGCCGTGAGTGCATTTGTCAAAACTCTAAGCTCACATATATATGATTTAATCGAAAAGAGCCCCGTGGTCTTACCGTGTCTCCGTCTCCGTCTCCGTCTCTGTCGCTCTTTCACTTCCTCGTCCCGCAGGGTGGGTCGGTTGATGACGCCAGCACGAGCAGCGCGAGCAACGAAGCAACCGGAGACTGTTTAACGCGATTTCTGGACGTAAAATACTTCAAAATAAAAGACTCTATTTTAGGGTAAAAATGATCCATGCAGTACAAGTACATCAATTCAAAATAAATTTGTTATTTTAAAAATTAAATAAATTGAAAAAAAAAAAAAAATGAATAAGCCCATGAGCAAAGACAAAACTTTAATAAGCCACATGTAACTGAATATACATAAAAAATAAAAATTATTATTTATTAACATTTAGTACAGAGTGCAAACAATATATTTTAATGAATGAATATATTCAATTATAATTATTATATATAATATGTATATTTTAATATAATAATACTAATTATTATTATTATAGTATAGACTCTTTCAGTGACTAGTGCCTTGTGTGTGCTGGCTTCACATTGCTGTACCCTCTGTTGTCCTGTAATCTGCTTCTTCTTATTTGAGTATCACTCAGCTGCCGGTGAATATTATTTCGAGTAATTATGAATAGCATTACAGGGCGCAGTGACATTGCACAACAATGTTCAATCGTTTACTTACAGCTAGTGAAAATTAGCCTACTCAGCAACTCCGTTTACCTGTAAGCGGTGTACAAAGCCGAAGTCTATGAGACGGCGTCCGCGCGCCGCACTGACAGCGACACGAGCGAAGGCAGCGGGAGCAGCGGTACGTCCGCTAAACCTAAAGCGCTTGTTCTGGCTGATGCTGGGTAGGAAGGGTTGTGATTTTAGCTTCAGCAATGCTGTAGTGGGTCATGCTAGTGCTGGGAGAAAAACAGGATTTGCTTCCTGTATTAAACTGCTGGCTGTTATAAATAGTGAAGCTGCATGCTTGGATATTTCTAGTCTTTTAGACTCCTGTACAAACGTTTACTTTAGTAACCAGAGTTAAAATGCACAAACCCACTGTTACTGTTGTTATTTAGCCACCACTGTCCTCAAATTATAAGACTTTAAACGTATGTGAAATTAAATTTAAAATAAACTGTATTTATTATGGTTTTACAGAAGGAACCATAACTATATTTTACAGTAACAGGCAGAACCATGCTTGTATCGTCCATTTTTGTAAAGAAAGATCGTTTTGCAGTATTTTCTATAAATAGTAGAACTATACATATGTGTAAAATGCCTTTTTTTTTACAAATAAACATAAATGGAGGTGCTTGGCCTTCAGAAAACATTTGTCAACCTCTGCTAAATTATGTCTCAAATACAGTAGTACATTTTCAGTGTTGTTAATAATATTAACTAAAATTAAAACTGCATGATATTTTTGTTCATTAACAGATAAAATAAAATTAAAATACAAATTAAATAAAAATGTAAATTAAAAAAAAACTTTAAATATAAAAGTGAAAGAACTAGAAAAATGAAAGAAAGAAAAAGTTGAAGTACTGAAATTACTAAAACTAAAATACAAATAAAATAAAGCTAAACAGAAATGTTAAAAAGACCAAAGCAAAATAACTAAAACTGAAAATATAAAAATAAAAGATAATTAAAAATATAGTAATAAATATGAAAAAAATAAAAAAATAAATATACTTTCATTTACAATTGAATATCAGTTCAATATATAATTCCAAAATTATGGCATACATTATTTAGGTTTTATGGCTTTAATTGTTAAGATAAAGAACGTTAAGACATCCAGACCTTTAGTTTATCTTGCATATCTTAATGCAGGATTTTTGCGTCTAATGGTTAAAAACAGTCACCAAAATGTATTTGTGGAATGTGCCTCTTTTTGCCTGTTTATTAGCTGATTATTTAGTTTTACAGCTTGTAGGTGAGTGAGAAATGTTCAGGGAATTCAGGTGACAGCTTTCAAATGCTTTTACTCTGATCTTTCAGGTGCTGTGATGGTGGAGGACGGGACGGTCATGAGGGGACGGGTAACAGTGTACTCGGTGCCAGGCTGTCCACACTGCATACAGGCCAAAGCTACTCTGAGTACATTAGGTGTCCCTGTGTGTGATGTGGATGTGAACAAGCACAGAGAATTAAGAGCACGATTGAAGGAGCTCACAGGTCACAGTACTGTACCGCAGATATTCTTCAATAACCTCTATGTGGGAAACAACGAGGACCTCCAGAACCTGGTGAGATAGGAAACAGTAACTGATGTATTCTATATTGACTAACCGCTGGCTTGATATGTACTTCTGGGGAATTGTGTCTGTGTGTGTGTCTGTGTGTGTGTCTCTCTGTGTGTGTGTGTGTGTGTGTGTGTGTGTGTGTGTGTGTGTGTGTGTGTGTCTGTGGTGTGTGTGTGTGTGTGTGTGTGTGTGTGTGTGTGTGTGTGTTCTTAGGATCCTGAGCGACTGGAACATCTGGTCCTGTCAGTAAGAGAGGAACCTGTGCCACTGGATGCTCCGCCTGTACCTGGGGAAAATAGCCTTGACTCTGATGGTGAGATTGATGGAGGTTAGTATGTCATGAACAGGCTGCTTGTTGTTGTTGTTTTCAGAAAAAAAACATGCTCAGATGTTTTCCTACAGTACTTCCTTATATTTGTTGCTGGCCTAGAGTGTTGAAGGAATGAGGAATGACTGCTATTTGTGTTGCCCCTTTTTTTTCTTTAAATGAAGTAACTGGGCAAGGATTTTTTTGTGCCTGCATGTAAGCCAACCTTTCCATATCACCAGCTGTTTCTCCACTGATATCTGCTGTTGTCAGACTCAGTTTATAGTGATGAAAGATAACTGAATCAGTCCATCCCCTAAAGGTCTACCTATTGTTCTAGTGGCCATCTTTTATACAACTGGAAACTGTAAGTTATATTTTGTTAATGGTTATAGCAGAGCCCTGTTTTAGTTCAGAGAAGGTGTTTGCTTTGACTACAACAGTATCTTTACTTAGTGCAAACCAATCAACATAATTTTTTTTTCTCCAAAAAGCATTTTTGTTTTTACTAGTTTGTGGTCTGCACATTATTTATGTTTTTGAAAGAATTATCTTATGCTCGCCAAGGCTGCATTAATGTGAAATATTGTTTCAATTTAAAAGAACTGTTCTCTATTGAAATATATTTTAAAATGTAATTTGTCTTTCAATTTAATGCCTCCTTTCTCAATAAAGTATTAATTTAAGTAGTTTAACATAAATTCTGTTTATAAATTATGTAAAACTTTTGGTATTGTGTTCTACATTTCTAGTCTAATTCAGATGAATTTGAAGTGTGGGAGGGAAGTAAAGCGAGGTGATTGTCAGGATGTACCGGCACTGAGCTGCTGGACTGAGAGAAGGGTGTGGGCAGCTTCATTCAGCTCCCTTTGTGTCAGCAAGCCAACTGAAACAGTTTTTCAAAACACTGAAGGAATTTATTTGGGTGTAACATTAATTATCTCTATTTATATAAAGCCACAAACAGGTTAGTTATGACTAGGATTTTTTATTTGATCAAAAATACAATTAAAACTGCAATAATGTGAAATATTGTTTCAATTTAAAAGAACTGTTCTCTATTGAAATATATTTTAAAATGTAATTTGTCTTTCAATTTAATGCCTCCTTTCTCAATAAAGTATTAATTTAAGTAGTTTAACATAAATTCTGTTTATAAATTATGTAAAACTTTTGGTATTGTGTTCTACATTTCTAGTCTAATTCAGATAAATTTGAAGTGTGGGAGGGAAGTAAAGCGAGGTGATTGTCAGGATGTACCGGCACTGAGCTGCTGGACTGAGAGAAGGGTGTGGGCAGCTTCATTCAGCTCCCTTTGTGTCAGCAAGCCAACTGAAACAGTTTTTCAAAACACTGAAGGAATTTATTTGGGTGTAACATTAATTATCTCTATTTATATAAAGCCACAAACAGGTTAGTTATGACTAGGACAGCAAACTAAATTTGTATGGGATGAGTCATGACTTAACTGTAGAACCTGTAGAGCCCTGCCTCACTGCCCTGTCAGTCAACAAC